TTAAAGTTGGACTCTATCCAGCACTTTTAAAAAAATTTGAAGCTCTGACAACATTGTTCCTGTTTTCCTTCAAGGCTCTGATGCTGAAGCTAAGTGGGAGCCACCCTTAGCCCAGGGAAGAGCCCCGTCCCAGCTGTGTGCGGGGGCTCGTGCTGAGGCCCCTGACACCCAGCCGCCTCACTCCTGTGTGTTGTCATTCCCACCTGTGCTCAAGACCTGGCAGTGCGTGGTTATGACTTAGTTACCTTGTTCAAGGGCATTTAAAAAAAGTCCCCTCCCTTCCTTTTTTATGAGTAAGTAAAGGTTTCTAGAGGTTAAATTAAGTGCATTTGCCACGGATCGCTTACTTACATGCAGGAATTATGGAATGCCATTCATGTGGAAAGCTGGGTCTAGGGTCATTTGTCTCAAAAACATTTCTGCTATACATTTCAGAGATAATTGTTTAAACAGGTAAATGCTGTAGCTGGCATAGAAGGGGATTTTGCTATGACAGCGTGTGTGACAGGGGGCAGCTGCAGTTTGTCCTCAAGACCCTCCTCCTCTCCTGAGGATTAAAGCCCCAAAGCTCCTCGGCTCTCAGACATCACAATAGTCATACTTAGTATTTGAGCAATGGAGAATCTGGATCTGCTCTCTCCAATGTGCTATCTAGTCCACATGAGGCCCTGGAGCACTTGATGTGTGACTAGTCCAAATTGAAATGTGTTGACAATATAAAATGCCTATGAATTTTAAAAATGTAAGCAAAAAGGGTGAATGCTCTATTTTTTCCATTAATTGCTGACTGAAGTAATTATTTAGATGCATAGTTGGTTAAGTAGACTGTACTAAAATTAAATATACATGTTTTACTTTCAAGATGTGACTTCTAGGAAATGTGAAATACTTACATGGTCCGCATTCCTGCTGCCGTGTTGTGTTTCTCTTGGAAAGTGCTAATCTGTGGAGGGTATTCAGGATGAAGTAGGAGAAAACGCTTCAATTAATGTGACACCATAAATTTAAGATTGTGTATGCATGTGTATGAGAGAGAATGTGTGGTCAGGGACAGTTTTCTTCAGAGTGATACTGTGATTTAACAGGACATGTTGGTAGATAGGGAAGGTGCATCTAGAGTCTTTTGATCCTACTAACCTTATTCTATCGGGGAAAAAAAGCAGAGCACAAACTCAGATTATGTTCATTTGTGATTCAGAGATACTAAAAGATAAAGATTTTGTACCTGGTTCTTTTTAAGCTCTGATGCTACAGAAGAATGTTTTCCAGTCACTGCCTAGCTTCTGAACAAAAGCTTCTCTAGAATAAAATGTAGAGTGTAACTTGACTGTAGTCCATTGATTATTTAAAGGAAGCTTTCAGATTTTTTTGTAGAATGCATGCAGTTTAAATTCTCACAAGTTTTGACCTGGCAGAATAAACCAAAAAAGACATTACTGGTTTAGGGCAAAATTCCAACCAGCCTCATGAATCTCAGTTGTAGTTTTAGAGATTTGGGAAAACAAGTTTCTGAGAGAAATTAGAGACCTTCCAGGATATCATAGCTACAGATAGTCAAGCAAAGAGGAAAGAAAAATGAACTCGGGCTGTGACAACTTAAACAGATCTGCGGGCTAAAGTAATGGTGAAAATGGGATTAATGCTGTGTTCACAGAGATGTGAAAGCAGTTCCGCATAGGAGAACCTCTGGTTGGTACCCACGCGCTGCTCCCGATTCCAGCTTGCTTGTAGTGCAGATCCTGGGAAGCAGTGGTGGTAAAGAAGTGGCTCCCTGCCACTCAACCTGGGAGGATGCGATTGCATTTCTGCTTCCCAGCTTTGGCGCAGGCTGAAGACAGCCTCTGTGGACTTGGGGGAGTGAAGCCAATCAGTGAGAGCTGGCTTGTTGGCAACGCCCGCGTCGCCACGTACCCCAAGCTCCAAGTCGAGCGGAGGGACTAGGGTTATGAGACAGACAAGACAGACAACACACAACACACAGTGGGTCATTCGTGTGAGGAGAATGCCGAATGCCGTTTATTTGAAGTCAAGCTGCATCTTTTATAGTCTGCTTGGCCCCTCCCAGGATCCTCCCAATGGTTAAGCCACACCTAAGCTCCCCCAAGGACATGCAACAAGGGGAAGCAGGAAGGAAGGAGATTGCTAAGCCACACCTAAGCTCCCCCAAGGACATGCAACAAGGGGAAGCAGGAAGGAAGGAGATTGCAGTCAAGCCACAGGCTAAATGTATCAGGCCATGATTGCCTTTCCTGTTACACCCTTGAGAAACAAGCTGTGCTGTGGAGTTAGTTAATCCTTGGGAGACTGGGGCCTACACTGGCTTTCTCTCTGTCTTCCCCTCCTGCAGCACACACACACTCCCTTCTTCTCCCTTCCCTCCCCCAAGTGATGTCCAGCACACTTTGGTGCTAAGCTGTTCCTTGGTTTCCTCCTCATTATTGTTGCACCTGTGGTGATTGTAACAGGCTCACAGGGCTCACAATGGCCAGGTGTACCTATGCATATTGTTTTGGCTCTGTGATCCCCAAAAGAGATTCAGCAACCTCCAGTGTCTCAGCCCACACTTGTGCCACACAGTGCCAGTATAAGCAGTTTAATAATTGATTTCCTGGAATAGCTAGATGGAAATTTGGCATGTTTGCAGAATCTCTAAGATTCTTAGAATTGATGGGAGATTCTGCTTAGAAGTTTAAAATCAAGTACACAGATTGAGAACCAAAGAATGAAAAAATAGTTTGGCATTAGAAATAACTCAATCTATAACATTTCAGATTAAACCGTACCCCTGAGTAGCTGGACCTCATTTTTATTTAGAAAGTAATTGCATTACCTCTTACTAACTACTTCATTATTATTTTTGAAATGGGGAGCTATTATTGTGGCTTAGCAGATCTGCCTCTTACAATGCTGGCGGTTCATATCAGAGTGTTGGTTCAAGTCTGGCTTCTGTGCTTCTGCCCCAGCTCCCTGCTTTATGTATAGCCTGGGGAAGCAGCAGCAGATGCCTAAGTGCTTCTGCCCCTCCCCCATGTGGGAGTCCTGGGCAAGTTCTGGGCTCCTGGCTATGGCAGCCATTTGTGGAATGAATTACTCTGTCTCTATTTCTGCCTTTCAAATAAATAACTGAACAAATATTTTTCTTTAAATCTAATTCTATTACTGCTCTATAGTAGTTACAGAAGGAATTTCCTTGCTTGGATTATTTTGGGTAGAAACCACATTGCATGTTTTTATTGAAGCCATTGTAAGATCATTTGTACTGGTTTCTGTCAAATGCTTGTAAAGTGGTTACTAAAGTAATACACTCCCACTCATAAGTGAGTCCCTTGGCTCTGGGAATCAAAATTATGGTTTTCAGATGAAATTATAGAATGTCCACACATGAACTCCACTTTATTTTGCTACTGACCATCAGGTACACTGGGAAAGCCAAGTAGTGCTGAGTCTTCTGTGCGGGCGTAGGCAAGGAACACAGCTGGAATGTTTCCTGAAGGGACTTAGATATAGGACTAGATATTGATTAGATCAAGTTGAACCATCTTGACCTATTCTCACATCAGCCCAAATAGGGCAGCACAGGCTACACATTGTCACTGAAGTAGAGGAAATGGTTCCCTACTTTGTGTAGGTTAGCTATGGGATGCTACAATATGCAAATGAAAACATGAGATGAGCATTTGGGCCTACCTCACCAAGAAGTGTAATCTATATACTAAAATCTTAGCCAAACTCAAGGTAAACTTTAGGATGCTGTAAAGGTAAAAAGAATTGTAATTACTGCCCATGGATTATAAAGATGCCCAGACTTCTATGGGTAAAAGTCATATATCCTCAATAATGTATATGTTATATAAATTATATTTACTACAAAGTATTTACTACCAGAAAGATAATTTAATGTAAATTCTAGTGTTTTGTGAGTAAATGGAAATATTTTCGTTTATATGGAAATGACTGTCTTTCTATATATTGTTAGACATTTTTGAGTTCAAGACCTGTATCCGACAATTTCTGTTTATATAGTATATATAGTTTCCTGTAACACATTGAATCAAGTTTAAATTTAGCTTTCCTTTAAAATGTGATTTATTATAATTTTTAGTGAAAAAAAGTTAAAGAAATAGTGACCCCAGTCCTACTTTGTAACATCAAGCCTTCTGATTATATCAAGGGTTTGTTTTCGATAGCCTACACTAGGCAAAATAGCATCTGTGTTCAACAAACAATGCGTATTCCCTAAATGAAGCCAGCAGAAACACCAGCCCTTTCCGGAGCAATAGCCACAGCAGGTTTCATTAAGGAAGGTCTCCTGTTACTCCCAACTCCAATTTGATTGATAGTTGTATCCCTTCCTATTTACTGCTCCCCTTTTCCTTTTGTAATTACTCCCTGAAAAAAGACTATTTTGCCATTGATTTCTTTTCCTTCCCTTGAATCAAGTAGAAGTACCAAGGAATAGTGAAATAGCCTAAGGCAGACTGAGAGCTGAAAAACATGCAGTTGATTAATCAGTCTGTCCTGATTAATCAAGTGGCTATAATATTATCTGTGATAAATCTGAATGGTAAGGAGGTTTTCCATTAACACAAGACTTAATCTCTTCTAACTAAAAGTATACATTCTAATTAACTCGGGTCCAGTATCGCTTGAAAAGTAAATTAATTACTGTTCTCCACTGTCCCCTGTAATTATGTGCTATTTTCCAAGACTTTGAATGGATTATTTTCTCTCTGTTCCTCCCTTTCTGAGGTCGCAGACTCCAAGGCCCTCTCGGATTCTTCCACAGATGCTACACTTGGATTCTTCTCAGCAGTGCCGCACACATTCCTCTTTCATTTGATTTCTTTAACGGTGATTCCAATCTGGGTGGTTGCCATCTCACAGTAATACTTGACACTTGTCATTTCCTCCACCTGTGGCCTAGTGTTTTCTGCCTGCACCCACCGTCTGCTTTCTACCTATTCCCCACAGTGAAGCCGTAGTGACGTGTTTAACACAAGTCAGGCCATGCCTTAAATCCAAAGGAGAAACCATCTTTAACCTCTTTCCTGACCTTATAAGCCTGCCTGACCTGGCCATCGCTGTGCTTTTTCAGTTGCCTTTTTTGTTCTCTGGCTCTTGTACTCTGCTTAGGAACATGGCAGTGGACTTCCAAATGGTCTTGCTTCTTAATATTCTTTCTGATTTTTTTTAATCTATTAGATCAAGTTCATTCCTCTTAGGCTAGTGGTAAAGAATAGACCTAACACTTCTTACCTTATGATCCATTACATACTGTAGGAATTCTTTAATAATATCCATTTCTTTACTGTTTGTTTCTAATTTACTTCTTCCTCTTTTCCACACATAACACTATGTACTTTTACGCTTTTATGCCTCTTTATTCTGTTCTCACATCTGAAGGACTGTTAAGTGAAGTCCAAGTGCACTGTGGCTTGCTAACTCCTTAAGTATTGCTTTGTACTCCACATGGATTTCTGTGTTGGATTAGTACAGCAGTTTTCCTTTATCTTCAGGGGATATGCTCTGAAACCCCTGGTTCTACCTGAGCCATAGTTAGTACTGAGCCCCATTTTAGAGTTTTTCATGTCACCTTTTCATTTTAAGGAAGCACTTTGTGGCTTCTTGGCCATAGCCAAGCTCCCAACATCAGGACTCTTGTGGGTTTGAGCCATTATTGGGTTTAATGAACGCAAGAAGCATGGTACTGTGTCTGCTAGGTAACTGAGGTGGCTGCTAACTGATGAACTGGTGGATGGCATTTGTGGGTATGCTGCACAGAGGAATGACTCATCAGTGAGAGAGGCAGGCTGGCTGGGATAGCACAAGATTCCATCGTGCTACTCAGAAGAGCCCACAATATAAAACTTAGGAATTGGTTATTTCTGATGTATTCTACTTAATATATGTGAACCACGGTTAACTCTAATTAATTGCAGCTGGAAACTAAGATATCTGAGGGGAAGAATTACTATATGACATGAATCTTCTTTGCATTTTGCCAGTTGTTTTGCCACATACTCTCACCTGCTGTTGTTTCTAAGTGTCCCTCCCAGATGCTTCAAGGCCATTGTGTTTAGAATGTCCTTTTCTGCGTGACTTGTACTCAGTATCATTTACTGTGGAACCAAGTAGAGAACAGCTGATTATGTAACTGGAAACATGATGAACATTGCTTAAAAGTTTTTGTTTAAGTCTCTGTTCTTGAAATGTTTAAACCTTGCCTCTTTTTCTTTCCTAGGAAGTCATTTATTAAACAGCATTCATGCTTGTGAAGAATTTGGACCACTCTGAGTCTTAATGCCACACCACTATTCCAGCAAATATGTGCTACACCTGGTAACAATGACCAGCAGCTTGAAGGATCAAACTGCCAACACCAAACCTTACCTTAACAGCTCTGGTCTATCCTATTCCCATGCATTTTAATATTATTGTTTTGTTTTATAACCACTTCTAAATATTCTCGGTTCTTTTTTTAATTGAAGTTTTTGTCTGTTTCCTGTTTACTTTGTGTACAGCTACCTGCTTTTTGTGATTCATTTTGATCCAATGACAGTGAACAAAGCCAGCCCGAGCTGGTAGGGTGCTGTTCACTTGAACAGGTGCTGTTGTGCGGAAAGGAAACTGACTAACTTAGATAGCCGTTTTTCTTCTTCCAGGCTTTTTTTTTTTTTTCATTGAATGCTTACAGTAAATATTTACAGATTTTTCAGGTTGTAGTAAATATACTGTCTGAGAAAATATTAATACAGAATAAAAACATTTCTTAGATCTTGAAAATTTTCTAATGTTTGAGAACTTCACTAGGTCTTTTTTTTTTTTTTTTTTGGTATTGGACTCCTTTGACTTTCCAGTCCTGTGACTTTTTACTTCTAGTGAAAAGTCAGAGAATCTCCAGACTGGAGAATAATACAGACGGTCGCTGACCGTGCGCTGTGTTTAGAAACCCCATCATGCCAGGTGCCAGTGCTGCTCAGCTACATGCTCTTCGACAGCATTCCAGTACAGGAGGGAGGAGAAAGACAACACTGTTGCCTCCCTTCCACTAAAAGATTCAGGCAGCTTAAAACCTTAGTGCTTCCTTAACACATTCCGAATTACACTTTTCCATTGGGTAGAGCACTTGCTATGTATTAAACCACCTTGTCCACATGTAAACTGACCTTTTGTTGTTGAACAGGTCTGTCTCTTTCAGATGGTTTGATTCGTGTAGGTTTGAGGATGGTGATGCTGGGAGAGGGAGAAGAGAGGCTGGGGTGTTTTTTTTTTTCTTGTTGGCGACAGGAAAGCTATACCATTTAAGCTGACACCAGAGATCAGATATAGGGACTTATTAACTGCATTGATCATTTTTCTCCTTTGCTTTGAACCCTATGTATAATTACAAAGCCAGATTAGATTTATAGTAGCTTCAAGTTGTATTAAATGGTATTTTGCCTTCTGTGATACTGTTATAAAATAAAGTTTGTTTATTCTCCAGTTTTGCTGCTTCTCTTTTTATAAAGGTGAAAAGCATATATTCAAGCGATAGAAAGTGGCAGCTTTTTAGAAAAAGATTTATTTAGTTTTATTAGAAAGTCCGATTTACAGAGAGAAGGATAAAATAGATCTTCCATCCACTGATTCACTCTCCAAGTGGCTGCAACACTTGGAAGAGCTGAGCTGTTCCAAAGCCAGGAGCCAGGAGCTTCTTCTGGGTCTCCCACACGGGTATAGTTCCCAAGGTTTTGTGCCGTCCTGGACTGCTTTCCCAGGCCACAAACAGGGAGCTGGATGGGAAGTGGAGCAGCTAGGTACACGAACTGGCGCCCATAAGGGATCCTGACACATGAAAGGCAAAGATTTTTGTGTGGGGCCCAGAACTGGCAGTTTTAAAGTCTTTTGTTAACTCTGTAATCTGATGGTCCTGCTAGCATCACTGGTTTGAAATGATGACAACAGCGTGGAAAGTTTGTGTGTGTAACGCTCAGTGTGCCATTCCCTTCTTCCTAGTTAATTAAGCCACTGCAGTATTTATACATTCTCCAAGGGATATTTTTGCTAGTTTTCTTTGGTACTTTTTGCTTTGTTTTCTGGGAATGTCTTAGCTAAGTCGCATGGCTCCTGCTCTGATGCTTCCTGCCCCATCCTGTCCACTGCACTGTCATGTGTCAGGCCAGCCAGGCTGTGGCCAGGGTTGTTCTTTAGTCTAATGGCCAGGCTCATGCTTGCAGTTTCCTCTGAAGCTTGCACTGTACTTCATTTTGTTTTAAACACCGCAGCAAATGGACCACAGACATCATTCAGGTTTGAAAGATGATGTAGAATTTTCTAATCATTTAAAGTGAGCACATTATAATTCACCAAATTGTTGTGTTGGAGATCTACTCCCACTAAATTACCTCTCAGTTTGTGAAAGGCCTTTCTCACTTTCTGTTATGCTTATTGCAGTAGCAGTTTTGTCAAGAGAATTCTTTCTTAGCGAGCCAGGCCTGAGAAGTGTTAGGGAGCCAGGTGTGCTTCTGGGATGTGGATTACTCCTCAGAGGGTTCTGTGTGTGATATCTGCATGTGAATTCAGGTTAATTCCCCCAAGGGTGTTTGAGAACAACATCCTTCCATGTTTCTAGTGACACAAAGTTTCTCCTCACAGCTCCTTGGTCCAGCAGGTGGCAGTGTTCAGTTAGGGTTTGTGTGGCAAGAACTGGGCTTGGGGTACTGAAGGTGTGAAGGGCATCCAAGGAAACTCAGTACCCATAGAGCTGCTCAAAGCAGTGGCAATAATTATTCTTGTGTGAGATGACCGCAGCAAGAGAACCTTTTAAAATGTAATTCTTACCAAATAGTTTCCTAATTTTATCATCTCATCTGGTAAACTGGGCTTTCAAAGCTTCAAATGATAAACAGAAGTAGATCCACTTTTTCAGTTATGAAGTTAGTAAGAATCTTGTGAGTATGCTTTGAAAAATATTTTTAATAAAAAGAAATACGGAAGTTGGTTTCCAAAATCTGTTGGGCATTATGAATTCTGAGAAAACTCAAAAATATGAACTGAGTCTAAGATTGAGTTCTGACAACAATGATAAGTTTTCAGGTAAAAGATATTCTTTATGTTTTAAAAGTTTTTATCTGTACTTGATTTTCCAATTGCTACTAAATTCGGCCTAGAGAATTATAGAGGTTGTTACTGGTCAGATTAGTAATACTTTTTTTTTTTTTTAAAGATTTATTTTTATTATTTTGTTATTGGAAAGGCAGATGTACAGAGAGGAGAGACAGAGAGGAAGATCTTCCATCCGATGATTCACTCCCCAAGTGAGCGCAACGGGCCAATGCTATGCCGATCCAAAGCCAGGAGCCTCTTCCGGGTCTCCCACGCGGGTGCAGGTTCCCAAAGCTTTGGGCCGTCCTCGACTGCTTTCCCAGGCCACAGGCAGGGAGCTGGAAGGGAAGCGGGGCTGCCGGGATTAGAACCGGCGCCCATATGGGATCCCAGGCGTACAAGGCGAGGACCTTTAACCACTTGCGCCACCGCGCCGGGCCCAGTAATACTTTTTAAAAAAGGATTTCAGAGAATAGAATGTGTCTTTCTGCCCACTTTTGTCAACTGTATAAGGTCAGAGTGTGGTACCATCATGGAGTTTCAACTCCCTGCACCAAGTAGCTAGGTTACCAGCTTGATCAACAAGACATGTGGGAAGATAAAACATACATAACATAACATAACATAACATAACATAACATAACATATAATATAATATAATATAATATAATATAATATAATATAAACATAATTTGTCAAGGTCTTGGCACCCCTGATACAGATGTGTCCTTGGAACGTGTTCTATCCAGGAGAAAACATGTTCTCTGCATATGAAAGACATGAATCCCATCACAATTCCCTTATAGATTCCTTGTTGTTCTTTACGGAAAGAGAAATGGGTCTTGTTTTTAGCTACTTGGTGGTATTTAGTATGGAAAACACATTTCCAGCTGTTGTATTAGTACAGTAGCTGAGGTGGTGAGCTGACATCCCTTGAAGATAAGAACCTGTCTTCCACAGTACCTGTTTCTCAAGGAAAATGGAGCAGACCCTGAAGGCCACACACCACAGCATTGGCTGGTGGCTGCCAAGAAAGGATTGCAGTGTGTCCTTCACACCTTCTGTTAAAGAGGAAATTTTTACATAAGCTACTTCCAAAGGGGGTTATAAAGGGATTCCTCCTTGAGCTGAACGAATACTGTTATTCCTTCCATATGGCGTGAACAGTTATCCTAAGTTGGCTCCCTCTGAAAGCCACAGCAGACATTCTCGTTGTAATCAAGTGTAATAAAACACAGAAATTAGTGTCTGCCTAAGCATCCTGAGCTGTAGGATATCACGAAGTGCTGAGGGCTCACGGGCTGCATTAGCAGAGTTCTAGGGTAGAGTTGAGGAGGAGCAACAATGGCACAGACATGGTGCATTTTGGCTTCTGGAATCTACCAGCTATTTTTAGTATTGAAATTTAACAATATTAACATTTTTACATTTACTTATATAAATGTTATATATATGCTGTTCTTGAAAATGAGTAATATCCCAAAATGAGGAATTTGTGTCTGATGATGTTTGTAGGACACAGTGAAGTTATAGACCAAATGATAGGATAGCCACGCATTGTATTAACTTTCACAAGAGAAAATTTGTTATTTTGCTTTTGAAGACTGGCTTATTTCACTGAGCATAGTAACCTCCAGTTCCATTTTGTTGCAGATACCAGGATTTCATTCTTTGTTGTGGCCAAATCATGTGTGTATGCCACTTTTTCTTTATCCAGTCATCATGTGATGGACATCTAGGTTGATTCCCTATCCTCACTATTGTGAATTAGACTGCTATAAACATGGGTGTTTGCTGTCTGACAGCAAAAGGCTTGGTGCTTGGAGCTGATAATCATACATGTAGACTACTGACTCATGGTCAATCACCAAAGTTTATTAACAGCATCAGACTTCTAAAGACTGAGGGTCAGGTAGTCACAAAGGAGAAGGGCTTGAGGAATTTACGTATCAACAGCAAGAGGGAGTTGACTTGAAGCTATGGGAGTTCCAGTAAATCTGCCTGTGAGAGCCAGCACCTCTCTTGAATCTGGTACCTAAACCTGATGTTTAGGGAGTCTGGCCTGTGTGTTTCCACATCAGACCAGGATGGCAGCTAGTCGTGGTTCCATACTGGCAAAGCTTCCCAGTGATCTCTCTTAATTGTCTTCCTACAGGTCTAATCAATTGTCCTCCTACACATGGGGATGTGGATCTGTCTGAAATGCTGATTCTACTTACTTTGGACATGTTCCTATGGGATAGCTGGGCCATATGATACATTTTTAGTTTGGGGACTCCTCAGACTACTCTATAATGGTTGTAGCCAATTTCGTTTCTACCAACAGTATATTAGGGTACCCTTCTCACCACAACCTTGCCACTGTTTGTTATTTTTGAATTCTGGATAATAGACATTCTGACTAGTGTGAGGTGATATCATTTTTGTTTGCTTTTCTCTGATGGCTAGCAATGCTGAATATTTTTCATGTGTCAGTTGAACATTGTCCACAAGCTCTTTCTTTGATATATTACTACTGAATTGTATGCAATTCTTTTTTTTTTGAATTTTTTTAAAAGATTTGCTTATTTTTATTGCAAAGTCAGATATACAGAGATGAGGACAGACAGAGAGGAAGATCTTCCATGCAATGATTCACTCCCCAAATGACTGCAGTGCCTGGAGCTGAGCCAATCTGAAGCCAGGAGCCAGGAGCCTTCAGGTCTCCCACAGGGGTGTAGGGTCCCAAGGCTTTGGGCCGTCCTCCACTGCTTTCCCAAGCAGGGATGGGGGGGGGGATGGGAAGTCGATTGTATGCAATTCTTACAGGTGACTAAATTCCTTGTGTTTTATAAAACAAGTCATTTGAACAACCTTTTAGTTAGATTCATATACAGAAAATGGAATATGACCAGACTTAAGATATTTTGAACACAGTGGGAAATGTGGAGAACACAATAGTAACAGACTCTATTGTAATAGCACCTTGAAATAAATGTTTTCAGTTGCTTGTGCAGTCTTTTAGGGATCCCCCTGGAAGGATTGTTCTTCTGTTATAATATAGACTTCTTTCCATATCTTGAAATGGCTCCTAGGTATTTTGATTTTAGAAGTAAAAACTTGAATTATTTTTTTGTGTGTGAATTTTGTGAAAATTCTGTTCTCTTTTCCTACATCCAGCATTGAAATGCCAGTATTTGCAAGTCCCATCATGATGGAGTAACGATCCATTCCTGGTCTCAAAAGAGCCTTTGGTTTTTGGTGCATCACAGTTATGATTTGGGATACTGGGAAAGAAGGGATGCAAAGTCAGGCCAGGGAAGGGTGTCACTTCAAGAGTTGCGCTGTCAGAGGAGCAAGTGGAAAGTCTGGAAATCAGAGCTCTCTTCGCGTCACTCAGCTTATACTCTTCATCTCTC